TGTGTTTCAGTTTGTTTCATTGGATGGATTTCTTTTTACGAGTAACTACGCATGAGAGTGAATGTTTTTTTCTAATAAATGTATGTTTGAGTGGATCGTTGTCACTGCCGTATTGCTGCGGTGAGTGAATACATTATCATACGACTATCTTTTTGCATTAAGCTATTGTCAATGCCCCTATTTTAAAGACTTGTTTCTTTCTGCCTATTATTCTTACAAATATGAGTAGAGATGATCGAGATGTTCAACACTACACAATGCTTTTTTTTTCTTTTTCAGTTCTCCATTGATATTGGTTGGCTTTGAACATTAGCTTCTGTTTTGTTTCCACATTCGTCTATTTGCACCTTCTTGGTGCCTATCAATCATCTAATCCAACCCATATGCTATATGCCTGTATCTACGATTCTGATTCGCACTTCGAAGTGTTGGAGAACAATAAAGACAAAGATAATTGTGCCTAGTTGGGGCCAGAATTATTGACATTGTTTTCTTTCACGAGAATCGATGATTGAAACATATATAACAGTTTTTACTCTTTCCATAAACAAAAAGAACAAAATTAGTCCATGTCGTTACATTCATCTATTCAAAAATCAATTGACCCGTTGTCTTTGTATACTCGTAAACATCGAATGACCTTTATCTGAATGCAGTGCTTATTTCGTGAAGAATACAGAAGAAAATGAGAATTTCATATTCAGATATTCGCTGATAGTATACTTTTCGCTATGATATCAGAAAAATCGAGTGTGAATGGGTTGTGGGATTCGATTGGCAAATAGAGATTGATTCATAACTTTTCTCAGAGATGTCATTTGTAATGAAAGTTTTTCTGAAAAGAAGAGAAGACCCAAGCTTTACGACCATGGGTCGAACATTGCACGACCTCTTTTGCAGCTTGAGATAATGTAGTATGAAAAAATTCTTGAGGTTGATCGGCTACTTCTCATTTGCGATCATAAGTCAAATAAAATTTTAAAATTCTATGAAGGTTTTAAAATTCAGTAAACAATAAAATTTAAATTAATTTAATTTTCAAGTTATTGTTGATGGATACTTCTATTTTAAAATTTTCACTTTCAACTTGAGATCGCATCGAATTTAGTGAGATACCAGAGTTCGCTCGTGTTTTCAATACAATTTCTATCTATAAATTTAGGAAGATGTAGAGTTCGC